CAATGAAATGTAGCAAGAGTCTGAACTGCTGGTATATTACGTACCTAAACGCATCGATATCCATATCATCATATCCTTACCATTATTGCATCCGCTACAAACTTGAAGTCACTTCTCAATATCGAAATAATTTTGACCCCAAGTATCTTTTATTTCAGTTTTGGCATCTGGACGCAAATCGAAGCACCGTTATCCGGGGAGAAGCTAGCATTTGTGGTAGGTAAGGCCAACTCTATTGGCTCAGCCCCTCCCCCCATCGCCGACCGACTTAGAGTGTGACAGAGTGCGTTCGAGTGTGATAGAGTGTGACACCCCTGGTGAGGATCTGTCGCCGTATCAGTACAACTCAGCTGCAGCGTGGCGTGCCGCCGAGGGGTGACTGAGGCACAACCAGTGGGAGCATGAGGGCACGACACTCCTAAAGGCCAGTGATGGACCGGTGACATACGTCGGCCGCTGAACGATGGGAGACGCCAGGAAGTAAGAAAAACACAGATCCGTCAGCACGCAGGGAACTGATGGCGTGCGATATATCTCCCTCACTGGGGACTAGGCGAGCGATCACCAAGCAGGGACTCCTTGACAGATTACTCCGGACATCAAAGCTGGCTGCGTTTAGCTTGGCTTGGCTGGGACAATTTCCGCAGGCATTTTACGAGCTTTGTGTACGCATGAGACCAGCCGACAGCAGGCTTAGCCAGAATTTTTGACTCCCGAGGTTCCATTAATTCTACCTGCTGCCATGTAAACAACAATTGACTGCTAAGCTCATGCGATTCCTTGGCTGAAACAGGTTAAAATATGTCGGTACAATCATTAAAACACGACCACGAATACGGGTGCCATTGGATCACCACCAGTCGTTGATGGCGGATACAGAACACAACGTTGCGGCTCCAGCCAACATCTGCAACATGTGTCTAGTTGCAGGTGGAATCCGCGTGTGGTATTTAATATCGCGCTCTGAAGAGGAGACCCCAAGTCGCAATAAGCTGACGACAGGCTAATTTCATCTCCGTGTGCAGAATCTGTTCTCCTCAGGTTCGCACAGCTCCTCTTCCCTCACATCGACCCTGCAGCCAACAAATAGGCTTGCGTCGCATACATTACCTGGGGTCACGTGACCATCAAAACACCATCAGCGCCATCTGGTGCCGGGCGCCAGCCGGCCGCGTCGTGAGCGTGCGCCCGGCGCGCGACGTTATTCAACGGGGCACCTCCTTACGTCATGCCGTGGCCGCGACGAGCGCCACAGACGGCTGCCGAACAGGGGGACGGTTGGAAACGAGCGGACCTTCAGTGGCAGCCCCACCGTCGGATGTCTACAAGTCTTAGTCCGATGGCTGATGGGCGCATCAATTTATATATGATGCATTATATATATATATATATATATATATATATATATATATATATACGGTGCCCACTGTCAAAGAAAAAGAGAGGAAGAAAGGCTAAAGGGAGAGAGAGGGAGAGAGAAAGGGAAAGGGAGAGAGAGAGAGAGAGAGAGGGAGAAAGAGAGGGAGAGAGTGGGAGAGAGACCGTGACGTTGACAATGCCTCGGGGGTGCAGTTGATATTTTTGTAGTTCCATACCCCACATCCTTCTTTGCCTCCGCGAAAGCCCACGCAGACCGGAACTATTCGCCCCACTGAGACATTGGCGGACCCCGACACCGTAAAATTATTGGTCTTAAGCTTCACCAGGTCTCGTTCTAAATGAGCTTCCCTTACTCTTCGCGTTAAAGCTCCATCGTTCTGTTCACGCTTTTTTGTTTAACGCGGCTTCACTACCGTCGCGACCAGCCGTAAATCAAATAAGAGCCGCCTCAGCATAGTCCTGGACAGAGCAGTTGCTAAGCCATCCTTGCAGCATGATATGAAATTATAAAGGCGTAGTTTTATACGTATATATATATATATATATATATATATATATATATATATATATATATATATATGGCATTGAGGGGAGCTCAACTGCAATTAAATAAGGTAAGAATGAATACAGACGCACGAAGCTCACACAGTTCGTTACAAAGATGGAACTGAAGGCGGAGCCGTGGTCAGACGAGAAAAACTCGGATGCCTCTCAGTTGTTTTCGGTAGCAATTTTTGAATTATCGAACGCAAGATACTGATTCGCTCGCAAAAAGTTGACAGCTCGTTTACATCTCCTGTGAAAATTCAAAGAATTCGCTTTCGATTTGTCATGGGTGACTATTTTTCTAGAGTCACGTCGGTCGCATTTCGTTCTCAAGCTCGCGACATTTACGTTTGTCGTAGAACATAGCTTGCAAAGCCTTGTTCCGCATAAGTTGCCCTCTTATCGTGCAGGACCACGCTGCGATTGTTCGGAATGAAAACGTGGGGCCAGCCCATACAACTTAATTTGATGTGAAATGGCGCATCTGCCGGATGTGTGTGGATGTGAAGGTGTGTTATGCACATATAACACACCTTCTCAATGGCTGTGCAATACCGCTTTAATTACTGACAGTCCTCGTTATTTCTAAAACAAAGCGGATGCTTCGGCTTGATTGTTTACCACGATGATCTCGTTAGATCTGCCAAAGGCCGATTACACTGGTATCCGATGAATTTCATCCGATGGAGTATTACGCGAGCTGCTCGATGCTCCTCTTCCACTGGCTCTAGTCCACTTAGTCTTTTTTAGAAGTCACAACCTTGTGAGCGAAGGCGATCCAGTCCGTTCATTGACGGTGAGGAGTGCCGCGCACTGGACGTTCAGCTGGTGATTCGGCCCGAGAAAAAAATGTGTGCCTTCCGGCATTGCACGGAAGCGCCCGGTATCATACGATGTTTGGTTACCCCATTGAACAGGTTCTTGACATGCTTGCGATGAAAACAATTGTATGGTTATGAACAAAAAGCGTGTGAATTGGCGTGTTAGCATTGCACCAACAGAGTCGCTCCAGACAGTTCAAACGGCATCTTTGAAGTCCAGGCAGAGTTCTAACGACTGAACGGTTCTATGGCTGTTGGCTTCATCCGCGTCACGCATCGTCCGTGTTTCGAGCGCTTCAGCCAAAAAATGAGCCGAATGACCAGTGAAAGGAGCCGTTTATAGTAGCGCAAGTTATTTACAGTGTCGATTCCATGCGGTCATCAGTCGTCGGTTTTAATCGGCCACCAATCGATTCGATGCCTTGTTCTGTCTGGTTAATGGCCTGAAGTAATGCATGTTTTACTTGAGCAGGCACCCTTCCGTACAAGCAGATATTATGTCTTCGACACTCTTTAATCATGCAAACGGGAATTTGAAGGGCACGAGAATTTGCCTGACCCTGTCAACTTTCTGGAATCGCGGCAGACCATACCTGGTTACATGATCTTCGAGCAAGAAAATAATGCGCCCAGTAAGCCTAAATCATCCAAGTCGGCCAGGACACATTTTTTTGCGACAGTCAAGCAACGTCTCCGTTCGCCGCGATCGTCGGCTGGCCGTGCCGACGATCTGGCGTGGTACCACTGCCGTCGATTGGAGGCGTGCGCGCTGACCAACATATAGCTCTGGCGCCGGCTTAGAGGATGGCCTGTCACTGCAAGGTACCGCCTCTCTCTCACCTCGGTCTTGGACCCGCCACGCGACGTGATTATCCGGAATTATCCGGAATTCTCCATTCTCCGGAAGCTGGGGCCTCCGTGGGTGAAATGAAACAAGGGGACGATGGCGAGGACTGGATAGGGAACTTTCATATGCCTAAAACTTAATATATGTGTAAATGTTTGGCAAACTTCACCTGCTACAAGAATAACCTGCACCAGAAAATCAACGGTATGTATCAAATCCTCATTTAACGACTGGGATCAGTTCGATCTCGTTGACACAAACCCGCAGTTATTACGGCATGATTACGCAACATTGCCATGCTCCATATGCTACCTTACTGTTTATCTTTTGCCAGTGTAAAAGTGCTGGTGTCATTTGTATTGAACCCCTAATGTTGCTGAATGACATCATCATGTCACCATGTAAAACTGACGTCAGCATGTAAAATCTAACTGACATCGTCCGTTGGTGACCTTGTTTGACTTTAGCTGCCTGACTCATGATTATCATGGACAGGCTTTCAATAGATCATCATCCAGGCATTAGTTTTTAAGAATGTCCTTGCTCTAGCGCACGCAGGAGCAAAGGCAGCGATCGGAGATTTCGCCCCCTCCCACGTGGGCGTGCCGTTCTGACCGGCCGCTCGGACGCGTGTTGAAAGACAGAAAGTAAGCCCATAAAACACTCGCACATCGCTTCACCACACACTCGCTCCAGCAGACGAGGCCCAGATGCAATGTTCGCCGTCCGGAGGCCACACCGGCTCGGCATGGTCTGTGTATCGACTGGCTCAGGGAGCCGCCGGGCGTCCGAGACGCTGGCGCCGCAGTCTGCGCCCCTTGCGCGCCCTGATTATGGTCATCACTGGGCGGCTAACAAGCCAGAAAACAGGCGCTCCTTGGGGAGGCTCAGGGGCCCGCCGGCGGCGCCCGGTGTGCCGCTCCTCTATTGGCCAACCACCCGGCTTCGGAAGGAGACCAGCGGACAGCCGTCGCTGCCGACCACCGCCGGCCGGCCCGCGTCCTCACCCTCAGCTGCCGCAGCCGCCGCCGCCGCCGACCACCGCCGACCGGGCCACGTCTTCATCCCCGGCTGCCGCAGCCAGCGGGGCTGTCGCAGCCCCGCCTCGGTCGGAAGGCTCTTAAATGTAAACAAAGCTGTGACGGTCTCCGGTTGAGACTGCGACGGCTGGCGGCTGCTCTGCTGCTACTGTTACGTCTCAAGTCGGCTGTTTTCCTGCCCGAATATTTTGGAGGTGTTCAGAGCTGATGATCATGTAGGGGATAAGTCGGGGTAGCTGTATCGGGCGCCACAAGATGTTCTTGATTACATTTGGAGCGTGTAGCAAAGGACATCAGCACCAGTTGTGACCTTGAGCATGATCATGATCACCGCCATCGGCTGATTTTGCCCTCAAGGTGAGCTGAACAGCTGAGCTAGCTGAGCTAGCTGCGGAGCTGAAGATGGGGGAAGGCCAAGGTCAGGCGGACCCGTACCTCTACATCCGCAGCTACAAGATCGGCATCTTCGGCTGGCGTAAGCGGTGCCTTTACGGTCTTCTGCTGGTGCTGCTGCTCATGGTCATCATCAACCTGGCGCTGACGCTCTGGATCATGAAGGTTCTCGACTTTTCCGTGGTGAGTGCTGGCTACCGGCTCGGACGTGCTGCGCTTCTAAGAAGCGCCGTCCGGCCGAAAATTTAACTCTAGTGCATGTTCATTTCACGCAGCACTTCTTACAGGCGTTGTTGTGGGTCATGTTTGGTTCATATGACATTGTGACGAGGATGATGGTCAGGGAAGACCTAGTGCCAGATATGCACACGGGTCATTCGGTGAGAGATTTAACGCTGCCCTCGACTTTTCAACCCGGTAAGAGTTCCTCTTTTCTTGCTAGAGGGCTCTTACATTTTGGTCTCCCCGGCTTCTTATTTGACCGTCGTGACGACGTAGTTGCTGGGATTCGCACAAACGCGAAAAACCCAACTTGATGGCCGGGAGAAGGGCCGCGGCTCGGCCATCGGAGGCTCCTCAGCTAGCCGCGGCTCCCGGCGCCTCGGGAGCCGCTCCGACCGCGGCTCCCGGCGTCGGTGGCCGGCGCGGCTGTTTACCTGTCGCCCGGAGAGCCATCGCCGCCGATGGCCGGCCGCGCCGGGGCCATCAGGGCCGGATCGGCGCGGCGGCCAGCCGCCGCCGGCACATCGCTCCGGCCGGTCGCGGTTTATAGGCCTGATTCGATGGGGAGATTGGCTGCCGAAAGGCCGATGAGCGGTGATCGGGCGGTCGTCTCCGGCGGCCGCGGCTCCGGCTCGGCCGGGCCGCCACCGCCGACTCGTGTCGCACGACGGGAGCAAGCCGCCCTCTCGGCCCGATCCCCTGAACAAATGCTTCGGTTGGGTGCAGATAGGCTGTAAGGAAGTGTCGCAAAGCTTATGTGCTGTTTGTTAAGTGTTCGGGAATACAAAGATAGCACAAGTATGAGCCCTAGGTGTCATGAGTAGTGATAGAGCAGGAATACACTTAAGCTCTTCCTAGTATATTAGTATATCAGTATATACAGTATATTCAGTATATATATCAGTATATAGCATGTTAGTATTTGACATGTCAGTGAGCCCTTAGACTTCTTAAAGCACATCCAGCTTTGTCAATCGCTACGCTGCCGACCAGTTGGTATCTTGTGATAACAAACCAACTGCGCCATGCGCTGAAGTCCTTTGAGTGTGACTTCCTCTGCGAAATTTGCATTCCGTATGTGATGCGAGGATGAGCTTGGCTTTGCTGGCGGCTTAGGGCAAAGCGGAACTCGTAACTGAGCGCGACGAGCGCTAGTTTACCAGCATGTCCGTAATTTAGTAATCTGAGCCCGTCCGTCACCCCTCCGACGGAAATGGCGTGGCTTAAGGCGGTCGAGCCGGGACGCGCGTGTTTTCCCGTGACAGATTCCTTACCCTCCGTTCTCGGCGCCCGTCTTGCCGCCGTAACTGGACATCTCTTATTCAGGGGCGTGAAGCAGATCAAACCGCGCCCTAATACCTGCCTGTTCTTTATTCATGCGTCGATTCGGCGGCGCCGGCCGGGGTCGGCACGCCACGCTCCGGCCCGGCTCCCCGCGCCGGCCGAGTCCCCTCTAAGTGCCCGGATCAGGAGGCCGCCGGCGTCGCCGCGCAAAACAATGCATACATCACACTGGGCCCGGCTAAACAAAGTTGGATTGGCGTCGGCCGACCGGGCGCCGTCGCGCGCGTCAGGGCGGGCTGAGGGCTACGCCGAGTGTAAATCATGGACATTGTGTCGAGTGGTTTCGTATAGGGCCATGTAGGATTGGGATAAAATGTAGGTCGGGAGAGTCTAGTTCAGCTCCGTTAACACGTGCCCGGATGGCCGACTGAATATCACACGTTCGGATGAAGGTCATTATGAGCGCCTTCAGATCTTAAAAAATAGGAGAGTTAGATAAGCTAAATTCGCAGAGTGGGAGAGTTTGTATGTCAATTAGCTTCTGTGGAAATGTGAGGTTCCAGGTCATAACCTTCGGGCCAAACAAGATCCAACAAGGTAAATTACAGATTGGTGCCCAAACCGCTCGCAGAAATCCTCCTACAACCGCCTTGAACCTAGCTACCTGTTGTAAACAAAGGGCTACTTTGTTCATTTCAGGCCAGTGACCCTGTTCACTTAAGCATTATGCCATGCGGTATGTTCCTTAAAAAATGGTGATCTGCGGCATTTAAGGCCAGTGGTCTACTCTGACCTTCAAGAACTCCATGGAAGATGTCTGTCTTGGTCCCTGCTATCAAGAAATTCGAAATGAGCGTCAGAAACTTCACCACAAGCATGCCATCCAGTAAAAAAAGCAGGTTGATTTTGACCTTGGTCTGACCTTCGTGCCTGGCCCAGGGTCCATGTAATTTTTGCGATATTAGATCCAACTGTCGTATTGTCTAAAAAACTATCTCAGAGGTGCATGGATTCGTCTAACACTCGCTGTCTCGTAAGATTGAGCGATTCGCTTAAAATTGCATTCGCTGACAGCCAAGGCCTGACCTTGGCCTGCCATGGGTCGGCGCGCTTATAAGCTATATCTTATTTGTCATATCAAAAGATACATCATTCAATCGCTTACAACTATGCAAAAAAACGAGATGCAAAAACAAAATGCAAAAAAGAAAATTATTCTGGAAAAAGAACTTTTGGGAGGTCGAATTCCCCTCCCCCCGTGAACCCATGTTAAAGAAAACGCCAGCTGTTTATCGGTCAGCAGTGGTGTGAATTATGGCATCACAGGATATTTCTCTTCAGTGCATGGTGCCCAGGGCCATTTTGTATGTCAAATGCATCTTGTACATCGTGCGCCTGAAGTCAGTTTTGTCAGATGTCAGAATGAGAGGTGCTATTCCCCACAATCCCCGCAGGACCCCCAGCCCCGCCACGTAGGCCTCCTCTGCAATCACTAACATGATGGCAGGGCCGTACTGTCCGTGCCTTTACTGATGCCCCGAAGGCACCACTCATGTACACCGCATGTCCTGGTATACGGCATACTGAAGACCCCCCCCCCCCCCTGCAGCTGCGCCTGACCTGGCGTCAGGGCGCGTCAGCGGTAGTGACACCGTGACACCGTGTCCGCGTGTCAGCGGGCGTGTCAGCGGCAGTGACACCATAACACCGTGTCAGCATGTCAGCGGGCGTGTCAGCCGCAGTGATACCGTGCCAGCATGTCAGCATGTCAGCGGGCGTGTCAACAGCGGTGATACCGTGTCAGCGTGTCAGCATTCAGCGAGCGTGTCAACAGCAGTGACACCGTGCACGCACGGCTCGTGTGCGGTGCAGGACGGCATCGGCGGCCTGCGTGTGGTGAAGGGCGGCATCGTGCTGGACGGCGACTCCTGGGTCATGGGTCAGCTGGTGGCCAGTCATGTGCGCTCGCGCCACCACCAGCCCATCAGCTTCCAGTCGTCGCAGAACTTCTCCGTCAACATTCGGAACAAGGCTGGCGAGCTGGCCTCCCAGCTCACGCTCGGTGAGTCGCTCAGCAGTCGGGGTCGTCGCTGGCGCACCGTGAGTTGCGTGAGCTGGTGACGAGTTTGCCTTCCAGCTCACGCTCGGTGAGTCGGTGAGCAATTTGGACCGTCGTTGGCGGACGGTGAATCTTGTGAGTTGGTGGCGACTTGGCCTCTGAGTTACTGCGGAGAGCTAGTGCTGGCTTGCAGAGCAGTTTCATTACAACATCGGCCCATTCCTCGTCCAATTATTGTTCGCGACACTGAAACATCAGTCGTCACCTGTGGGTAATGATGTGAAGTGGGGCTGAGAGCTTTTTTCTTGCTGGCATGTCGCGATCGGTTATCATGTTGGCTGTACAGGACTTCAGTTATTCCAACATTTGGTGCAATACTGACGCTATCATTTTTTTTCCATTACGTTAAGTGTTGACCAATGAACGGGACATGCCATGAGCTAGCTGCTGCTGATTGGCGTTTGGTAGCCGATGAAACGCGTTTCCATGGCAGCGTCTTTGCTAGAAAACGCCCGTGAGTGACTGGCTGTGACGTCTCGCATTTACCCTTCAACAGCCATAAAGGTTATAGGTTGTAATGCTGGCTGCTGGTTGACATTAGATACGCATTTTGTCCCTGAAAATACACCGCGTGCCAAATAAGTAAAAGGTTCGTGTATTAGCTACACCACTTTACTGCACAGGACCCTTGTGAGGTTGAACTCGAAGCAGTAAAACGCCGCCTGAAATGCATGGTCGACCTGCGCCCAACGCGCATCATTGCAATTTTGACGCGTCTTATCGTCCATCGCTCCAGGCCCAGAGGGCTTTCACGTCATCTCGAACTCTTTCCAAGTCACGGACCAGATGGGTATGGTGCTATTCGCGGCGTCACCCAGCCAGGTGATCGTCGGTGCGCACACACTGCAGGTCACAGGTGAGGTCAAGGTCACACGCCGGCCTCAGGAATCTGGCTCTGCGCCCAAAGCGTCCACCCCGGTGGTTAGTCCGCAATATTCGTTCTGGGTTATCTGATATGTCTTTGTGCCCATCATGGATGAAAGCCTGTTTAGCTGAACTGTGCAGTACAGATTGTCTGATGGTGTCTATGGGTCTATGTCTCATGTCTGATGGATCTATGGGATGTACGTTGCTTTGTACAGGCGATAATTATGCGCCTTATTGAAAGCGCTACAGGCATTTACGCATATGCCTGCAGCTTTCATATATCTCCAGCGTATCTGGTGGCCAGCGCTCGTGCTTATTTTGTTGAGCTTTCGTGCCAACCTGGCGACATCTCTTATTTGCAATGTAAACACACCTAGTGAATGAGACGACTCTAATGACCACACCAGCCACACGCATCGATTGATGATCCAACCATTGGTCGTGTGCGTAATTAACTCAGTGTGATGATGGTCCACCTACAACCATATCGGAATTCCCTCACTTAACGACCATTGCGCTTGTGTCTTCTAGCTGACAAGTCAGGGGGGGGGGGGGGAGCTTAGTACACCTAATCATTGGTCGATATCGGCCCATGTCTGCGATGCCGTACAGTGGCAAGCTTGAACGCTGCATGGGGGCCGGGGTGCAATTGGGGCGCCTCGGCTGTGCTGCTAGCCAGGAGTGCGGCGGTTGGCCGCCGTCAGCCGACGTGATCCTCTGTGTTCCAGGGGAGGGCGGGGCCGTGTTCGACGGATCGGTGGAGACGCCGGTCGTGAGAGCGGAGGCCGGGAACGAACTCAAGTGAGCGCACCGGTCACCCGAGCCCGAACACACCCCCGCCGGTCACCCGAGCCCAAACACACCCCCACCGGTCACCCGAGCCCGAACACACCCCCACCGGCCACTCGAGCCCGAACACACCCCACCGGCCACCAGGCCTTGGCTACGGTCCGCCGGCTGTCTCCAATCACGCCCTCTGTCGCGTAATCACGCCGGTGTTCAACGTTCCTAAATGAAGTTATAACCCACGTTTGTTCCGTCGCGACTTTAAGGCAAATACCAATGATTCGATTTTGAAGTGCTGCACTATTTTTTTAGAGTGAAAGTTGAGGAGCTAATCATTTGCCGAGCATGGTCTTTTCGCCACTGTAAACCATACCCAATGCGCGCAAAATGCCCTCCGAGCTCATAACTTCAAAGGTCTCTAGCTCTCAACTACATGTGGCAACCATATAAGTATGACCTAAATTTTCGAGCAATTTTCGGCGATTCCAACAATTTTCAGCATCCGTCAGGCAATCTATTTCCACATCTTGAGAGAAAAAGGAGAAAATGTTATGCCGCAGAGCCTATAACACCGTTAGTGAAGGTTGTCATGACCGTTTTTGCCTACACAGTAAGAGATGTGCAGTGAATTTCCTGTTTTGATGAGATTGACCGACTTGTGTGACTTGCTGGAGTCAACGTCAGTCGTTATATACAGAGGCAGATGAGGCCGTCAGCAGAACTCGTGTGAGATCATCTTGTGAGGTCGTTCAAGAGAACGTCACCGCACTGTCGTACAAGAATGCGCTCTGTCGTTCCACGCCACCCATACGGCTAAACGTTTGGGTGTTACTGCGGAAGGCAGTGGACCGTTAAGTCCTCTAAGAATTGTGTTGAATTTTAAAGCGTGTTTTGAAGGGTGTAACGCATGCGTGTAACATCAGCAATGACATGATCTCAGGTGATGATGATGATGGTGATGCCAGCGTTGCGATTCATTGATCACAACGATCAGGGCTATTGATTGCAGCCGAATTGTTTTGCGGCCCCACGACCTTTAAAAGAGAAATATAAAAAATGTATTTTTATTGCCAAACGCACGCATGCCACGACGCACATGCATGTGATGTCCGCTGCCAAATCATGCCAAGGCGTGTCCAAATCAGATTTGTATGGTGCAACAAATTTTGAACGCAAGATATTAAGGGTCTTGTTCACGTTGTAATAAAAAGTGCGATCCACTGACTATGCGGTTTAGCTCTTCCTTAGCTTCACCTGCTGAATACTGCGGACCGCGCACGTCGGTCTCATCTGCTACCCTGCCTGTTTGGAGAGGGACAGCTGATGGGTGCAGTGTTCCTGCGAGCTCGCTGGGTCGGCTGGTGTCGCCAGCTGGCCGGCTCACAGCGCTAGCGCCGCCGAGGGCGAGAGCACTGCACGCGAACTGGGCACCCCCTCCACTGCTCCGTGTTGACAGAGCACACAAATAGTTCTCTAATTTGCTGGACAGCTGCTACAATTAGCCGACGAAGACGAGTGTGGGTTGATGTCGAGCGAGAGTGAGCAGCCGGCGCGGTTCACGAGCTGCGCTCGATGTCAACATGGGTATCGTGTCCGCCGGCTGTTGGTTCGTGTCCTGGTAGCAGCAGGACGCACCACATATGCTACCGCCCCGGCATATCATGCTGGTACGCAGCGCAGCGGATTTCTCTCCACATCTCGATATAGTTGCGTATAATGCCGAATGGTATATACTGATTGTTCGGATCGCCGACTGTTCAAGTCCTCCCCTCCTGAGATCTCCAACGCTGCATATGCGTATCAGACGCATTTGCCATTTTGAGCCTGCGTGAACGTCACGCAGTGCGAAGCAAACAAGGCTTAGACCAGGGAGATTTAGCACTCAGGCAGAGACGAGACTTAGCACTGCGATTTTACTTATGAAAGCTTCCTTTCGTGCCAGATTTTGTCAAAAGAAGTAGGAGGATACAAAACAAGTCCATTTGATTCGGACTTCTCTGATGGAATTATGAGTTCTCGTGCTGAAGGAAGCCGACCTTGAATATGCCTGGCGGTACTGGTTAAACGGTGATATCAGTCTATCATTAGGTTTCATTAGGACATACGTACCTAACGATTATCATCAGCTTATGCCTAATGATATCTTGATATGGTATTTCAATCGAAGAACGTTTGTTTCTAGCACAAGAACTGATAGCGCCGAAAACAGAAGTTAAAGACTTCTCTTGGTTAAATCTGGGGCGCATTTGTAGCGCACCCAGAATGCTCTATTCTGCGTGACGTCACGTAAAATCTTTGTCGGACGTATTGGCAGCGTAGCTTGTTTTCCGATTACATCTCCTTCACTGTCGTGACAATAACTGCGCATGCTTTTTATTTGCAAGTACTGCCAGTGCTCTTAAGAATGGAAACTGAAAATTATACTCTTTGCCACAAATACAGCACATTCGTATCACTCGCGGTCGTTCCCAGACACACAAATGCATTTATTTTCTATCGAATCTGTCGCGCCATGTCTGCCTCACTGCGATGGAGTGGCGGAAAAATATTATGCGCGTCCGGCAAAGATTTCACGTGACGTCCCGTGGAATCTTTGTCGTCTGGGTCACTGCGAGCATCAAACGGCGCAGAATCCGTGGGTATGACGTCCTGAGTGACGTTGACGATATATTATCTTTGTCGTCCGAGTTGTTGTGAACACTAAACGGCGCCGATTATATTAGGTGTGATGTCATGAGTGACGTCGACAGAACGTCATTTTTGTCGTCCGAGTCGCTGCGATTACATCTCTAGTCTGATGGAATATTACATTACGGGACATCAGCTTTCCACAACTGCATTCCGCATTGGTTACGGGAGCTTAGAGCTCTTCCAGCCCGGGAACCGCGTCAGAACTATAATAAAGGACAGAGGGACGGGTCGAGCAACTATGCAGTCATTCTGGCGTAACCAAGACGCCAAGATCAGGGCCCCCAGCCGGTGCTGCAATATTCGGGGAACCCCCCTCAGGGCGGCCGGTGAGACAGTCCACAGCTAACGGTCGCGGTGTACTCCTAGTGAGATGAGGTCTTCTGATAAGGCGAGGCACTGCGAGGGTGGACGGTCAAGCGGTGAATGTGAACAAGCTAACTGGATGGATAACGAGCATTACGTCCAAGCTGGGCGGCATGTTAGCTCACACTGACTGTAAAGCTCAATAATCTGAGAACGTTTGCATGCAGTGGAGAATATGCTCAACAACACCATTGCAATTATAACCGCAGTTTAGTTCTTGCTTGCTGGTACTGATGCATAATTCTAGTCAAGATCTTGCTGGCTTTATATGCCCGTGTGGAAATTCGTTCATCACCGTTACCTTCTGGTGATTAAATCGCTCTTAGTTATGACACTCGACATTGTGTAATGGCAAAGTGATAGTCTTTCGCTATACATATGACGAACATTGGCATAAAAAGACCTCATCCATTGACATTATGTTCCCAGACTGGAGTCGGCCACCCGGTCACTGGAGATCTCGGCGCCGCTCGGCGTGGCCATTGAATCGCGGGCGGGCGATATCAGCGCCGCCTGCCTCACGGATCTCAAACTACAATCCACCGGCGGATCGGTGAGCGCTGGAATGGAACGAGGCGGATGAATTGAGCAGAAAGGGAAAGATGGAGGGGGAAACAAGAAATGGAATGGACAGCAAATTTTCTCTTTGCTTTCAACGTGACAATGTGAGTGGAATACGGGAGTAAAAACTCCAAAAGCATAACATAGTTTTGACTACGCGCGTAGCGCGCTGCACGCTTCGTTGTCAGTAACCAACTAAGAGCAGTATGAATTCAAAGGGAGAATATCGGCCCCTACCCCTCCCTCTCTAAGATGGTCAAAGCTGGGCAGAAAATGATAGTTCGCTGAGCTTTAAAGAGCATAAGCAAATTTGGCTACCGGAAGTTTATTTCAGAGCATTTCTATTTTGGAGCATTTTTTACTGTGAGGTTAAAGGAGGCAGAATTAAAGACGTTTTTTAGTCCGGACACTTTGCTGTGTGTTCTCTTCTATGCCAGCGTTCCCCCGTCGGTATTCTGAATCCGTCCTTGACTGGGAATGTGAGTGCAAACCAGAGCAGGTCACATCACCTGACCGCGCTGAGCATAGACTTCTCACGGTTCGGTTCGGTCTGCAACATTGGCGCTGCACGCGGCGGCGGATCCGCATCTTTGCTTATTAACGACGTCCCGCGGCTGGACAGCGTATTTAAGCCAACGGTCCTCCCCTCCAGGTGCGAATCGACTCGTCCCGAGTGCTGCTGCCCGGGCTGCCCATCGCATCGCCCAGCAGCCAACGGCCGCTCGGCCCGACCGGCGACGCCAAGGCCTATCAGGTGTGCGCCTGCACCAGCGGCAAGCTGTTCGTCACGCCAGCAGAGGGCAGCTGCTTGGTAGATGGCGCCACCTGCCAGTGAGGTCCGCTGAGGTCCACAGATCGCAGTCAAGGGGGACCATTGATCAGTGAGACCGGCAGCCGATGACAAAGGGGACCATCAACGAATGAGCCCCGCCCACAAGCAGTACGCACGACGTGGCCCACCAATAAGGGGCACCCATGTCAACAAGAGTCACTGAGGCCCACCGGCATGTGGGACACCCCGACCGCTCGACCCCTGCGTTAACCAATCAAGACCAACTGCCAGGGACACTGGACGGACACGGGCGAAAGCAGCCCTACGGGTGGCTCTGGTCTGGTTCCGCGGCGTCATCGCGAGGTGTCACAGACCCGCGGTGCGGCGTAAACCGCGGTGCGGCGTAAAGAGCGAGCGCCAGCTTGTGGTGTCCGATCGCCCTCGGGACGTGCACCTAACGGTGTCCGCCGCGCCGGTGTCCGTCGCCTGGCGCCTGGTGTCCGCCGCCTGGCTCCTGGTGTCCGCCGCGTGGCGCTCGGTGTCGGACCCGGCCGGCTCCGGGTGGTGACCGGACGGTTTGGCCGGGTGTGCTGCGTCGGACCCCTGTGGAGGCACGCTCCCGACTCTGGGGCGCGGGACCGCAGAAGCCTGCCTGCCGAAGCCTGGCGGCGCCAGTGCGATGTCGCCGGGTTTGTGACTGAAGGTGCCTGCCGCGGTTTCTATAACGCCTGCCTGTTGAGCTTCTCTGTTGTGTACAATGTGGCGTTTGAGGGGACGCTGTTAGCCACGATCGCATCTGTTGCTGGCAATTGCGCTGTTGTGTGATATTAACGGATCAGCTCGGCCCCCGTATCGCTCCGCTCTGTTTCGTGCAGAACTGCAGCCAGTCTGCCACCTGAGGGATTGCAAAACGGTCTAGGTCATGCGATACCTCCACCCTGGGCTGACGCGTCGCTTCATCTTGATGCAGACCATCTGGACATCTCGCGGATTGTCCCGGGTCCCAGGCAAGCGAAGCGCCCGGCTGTTGGACAGAGGGCCAAGGAAACGCCGAATGCTGTTGATAGGAATATTGACCTCTGGGCTGAACCGACCATGGAAATGACAATACATGAGAAGTGATGACCGCGATGTGGGCTTAGCCATATTCTGCTCCCTAAGTTCGCACTTGAATCGCGTTATCGATTCTCGTGACGAGTTCTCAGTGGCTGTCTCAGCGCAGAGCACGGAGTTCGGAATCAAATCCATCGAAAGCATTAAAAACTGTTTGCCGACTTAGGTCTCAGATATTGGTGTTGGCTGAATATCATGAGAATGATGGACGTTTCAGTCACATGGACATGGTGGTGAGCCTTGTTCGGTCGTTGGATCAGTGGGAGCGAACCGAACTTCGACTCCGCAATGTTTGAACAGCTGGCCAGTAATTTGTGTCTGGCATGTCGCCACCAATTAAGAAGGGTCGGTGTGAATGCGACGACGGCATTCGCGAAAATTGAATCGATGTCGGCAAACAGCTGTGCAGCTGGGTGAATGTCCTCATCTATCATAACAGGTAAGCTAGACTCGTCTTCAATACCCGGCATTGCATCACAGCGGGGCATCAATGTCTGAAGACTCGTTTATACTGCTGGCGTGAATTACCTCAACGCGTTTTCCAGACAGCTCCTCCGAAAAGGGTGCGACAAATAACCCACAGGTAAGTTGTGGCCCCGCCTAGGTCACGTTGGCGGCCTGATGACACTTGGCGGTGTGCGGCCGTGCTGGACGGGGCTCCGCAGACTCCAGCGGCAGCCTCCTCGGCCGCGCCCAGGTCACTGCGCCGTGCCGATCGGTCGCTCAGGTCACTGCGCTGTGCTGTGCCAATCGGTCGCTCAGGTCGCTCAGGTCACTGTGCTGTGCGCCTGCCGTGAGGTGGGATTCTGGCTGTGAACGTCTGGTTTGGGTGTCAGACGACAAACTGCCATCCGTCAGCGGTTTGGTGTTGATGTCGTTCCGAACGTCGACACGCCGCGCAGTTTTTGCTCGCAAGCGTTGCGTTGCGTTGCGCTGCGTCACACAGATGACGGTTAGAAGCAGAAAATGTGCCGTTAAGGTTCAGTCATGCTGAACTGTGCTGCCCGGCCATCAAGCCGCCTGTCAGCGTGCTGTCCGGTTTTCATTCCCACTGTAAATGCGCTGTGAGGCCGGCGGCGTTCCGACGCCAAACGCGTGTTGCGAAACACAACGTTGTTCCTGTCGCAGTACTGATGATGATGCACGTCAACAGATCGTAGTTTGCTGCTGTGGCCTGTCCGGCAGACTTCTGTTGACGCTGTTAAATGGGTTGTGTTTTCTTTCTGCTCATCCTACTGCTCAATGTTCCAGGCTGATACTGAACGTGTGGGGAGAGGTGCCTGTCCAACGTGTGATCTCACGGAGAGCGGACAGCTTCAGGATGTTTGTGCTCGTGACTAGGCCGGAATCCCCCCCCCCCCCGTGTGTGACCGTAATGTGACCGTCTGTGATAACCCCGCCTGTTTGTGTCACCCTCTAACCGAAGACAGATGTGAACCTCCGTGGTGGCACGGGAGAACTGATAGGGCGCCGCCCTTTCTCTGACCCCGTGTGGCCGTGCAGCCAGGACTCGCTCGGGCCAACTGACCAACTCCAACTTGCACTGCTTCCGCAACGGGCTCTGCGAAACATCAGCCAGCAGGATGAAAACACCTCGTGTGCAGGTGTGTTGCGTTCTCAGGAACAACGCGCGGGCGGAGAAGGTGTTGGTTTGGTGCGCTGTCGTTCGCAAGGCCGTCGACGCCACGCTGCCTGGGACGTATGCATGATTTTCTTGCGGAGGGCACGACTTCAGTCATCGCACCCAGTCTAGTTTATTGCGCAATGAAAAACCGCTACATCAAGCGAAGACAAAATGCATTGCACCGTGACGCCGGGCATGCGTGAATTTTTGGGCAAACGCCAACACTCTGCAATGAGATGTTTCAGTTCAATTCCAACATGATATTCCGTTTTTCCCGCGTCCTAGAAAAAATAATGATGGATACATGTGCATTGATTGTCGTCCTAGGACACTAGGACGACAACCAAGGCAACCTCGCCCTCACCCAGGACACTTCTTTAAAGCGTTCTGTACCCCATATTTTTTTAACGTTGGTTTCCCCTTGGAGGTGAGACGTTCCCAGCATATCAATTCAGGGTTTTTGCCGGACTTTTGACGTCGTTTCATGTAGCCTTGTCTTCATTGTCAACGGTATTTACATGCCATTGGGAATTCAAAAGTTACCTTTTCCATCCTTTTACGTCATGATAATTTTTTCTTAAACCTTTTGCGTTGGAAATGATTTCAAAACCAAACAAGGGTAGACATATACTTACTCTATATCGTTTGTCGTATGTAGAAAGATGGCAACGATAGCGACGAATGTTTCAAGGTTCATCGAAGATTATGATTCTATTCTAAGAACCATAAAACAAGTAAAGATAAAGCCCTTTGTTTTAATACAAACTGCCTGTTGCGCTAACAGATGAAACGTGCAAACATCTGTTTGTCTAGATGTGTGCCCGGAACTCCCTATGGTTTGCCAAAGGCTCACAAAGCCGGCGTCCCTCTTTGACCTATTTCTCGGCTCGCGGTATTCTGGCTTGTGACCTGGCTAAATTTCGGGTTCCTGTGGTGAGTCCCGTCACAAAAATGAGTACAGCAAAACGAGTTCGTACGAATTGGCGAAGGACGTGCGAGATGTGCGGTTGCATTGTAAAATGTTCATGGCTAGCTTCGATGTAGGTACCTTGTTCAACGGTATTCCTTTGCAAGAATCCGTCGACACTTGCGCGAGAGCCTTGCTTTCGACAGACATTAAGGTGATAGGAATCACCGTGAAATATTTCAGGTCTCTCCTTGAGTTTACTATCATGATTTGTTTTCATTTTCAATGGCAACTTTTAAAGGCAAAGAGAGGGACGGTCATGGGTCTGCGCCTGGGTCCAACGTTCGCTAGCATTTCTGTCATTAAAAGCTATGCCTTAGTATCTGCCTGGCCCAATTCTTTCCGTTCTTTTATCGCAGGTATGTTGACCATCGCTTTCTTCTTTTTGTAAGAAAAGGTCTCACGCTGCTTTATTCCTTGACTCTTGAATAGTAATTATCCAAGTGTTATGACGACAACAGAAAAGGGGTGCAAGGGCAAAATCATCCTTTTGGAAGTCCTCGTCCATAATGAAGGCGGTCGCTTACACACTCTAGTGTACACAAAGTCTACTAAGCCTGCCTACTTCGGGGCTGGACGCAACTTTTTTTCAGCTTGATTCCAGAATCAAGCTTGGTTGCACATGTACGGCCATCTTCAGTGCACGCCATTTCGCCCAAACTTATAATCCTTTCATGATGAAATCGAATGTCTGGAGAGACATTTCTGGAGGAATGGCTTCCCCTTGAGGATCATCCATTTATTTATTTGAAGGCCCCTCGGCTTTGGGCATGTTCCCTCATCCAGGTCCTTTGGCATTCCAAAACTCAAAAAGCATCGTGCTGTAGCGTAGGAGCCTACTCAGACTCATACTCCGAGAACCCTAATCGTTAGTTCGTAAGCTGCCTTTTGAAGCTCTAGCCATCTTTAGACCATGGAATTTTTCTGGTAAACTCCTTCTCAGTGGGTTCGTCTTCAAGCGTAAGGATGGATTACGTAAATCAGGGATAAGTTTTTCTTACTTGATTTTTCTAGTAACTTATTTGTTAATTGTTTCTGGTAACTTAAAAAATCTGACCAATGGGCTCTCCTCTCTACGGGAATATTGACTTATATTTGATGCTCCAGTTGTAGCTTCCAATTTATTTATCTTAAGCAGGACGTGTTTTACACTCAATTTGAAATATTCCAGTCTAATCACCTTTTTGAATGTCATTAAGAATATCAAAGACTACATCGGTATATTTGTGAGTAGGCTGCATGTAATTGCATGCGATTGTGTGATGCCTTCATTTTTCGTGTCGTGTGGGCGTGTTAAGCCACCATGGCGTGGACTGCATGTGTACTCTTTGCTTGCAGATGCGACCGTTGTTAGCTGGAAAAGGCATCGTGAGTTGATAAAAAATGTTTATATGAAACACGAACGAACGAGTAAGGTTGTTATATATATATATATATATATATATATATATATATATATATATATATATATATTTATGTGTGTGTGTGTGTGTGTGTGTGTGTGTGTGTGTGTGTGTGTGTGTGTGTGTGTGTGTGTGTGTGTGTGTGTGTGTGTGTGTGTGTGTGTGTGTGTGTGTGTGTGTGTGTGTGTGTGTGTGTGTGTGTGTGTGTGTGTGTGTGTGTGTGTGTGTGTGTGTGTGTGTGTGTGTGTGTGTGTGTGTGTGTGTGTGTGTGTGTGTGT